AGTAAATAGAATCTTTAAAAAATAAATAGATAAAAGAGTTAACAACAAGTGCAGAGTGTACACTGAAGCAGGAGCCAGGAGGCCCTCGACTCTGTTCCATGTTAACTCTAGCTGCTGGTCATAGTGTGGTCTAGGGGATAGAGGCTAGGGCAGCCCAGGTCAGGCAGCAGAGTGGAGCAACAAAACCCTAGGGCTTGAAGCAACATCTCTTGGCTAGAACTTTAGAAGACTAAATGAGAATGATCTAAATTCTGGGGTGCCTGAGTTGCTCAGTTGGTTTGTCATCAGACTTTTGATTTGGACTCAGGTCATTATCTCAGAGTGGTGGGATTGAGCCCACAAGTCAGGCTCTGTGCTCAGTGGTGAGTCTGCTTGAGAGTCTCTTCCTCTCCCCTGACCCCGCCCCCTGCTTGCACTGGCTCACTTGCTATCTCTAAAATAAATAAATAAATCTTTTTTAAAAAGAATGATCTAAATTCCTCAAAAACAGTTTTTTGTAACAAAAGACTAGCATGCTATAAAATGATTAATCTTTAGCTTTCTGATTTAGTAAGTATTTTTTATCAGATAAATAATGGATGGCTTCCATAAACTTAATGCATGTTGGCAAAAAGTCTGAAAGAGAAGGGATTGATTGAAATAAAAACTGGTCACATTTCCTGGCTTATTCTCTTGCAGCAAACAACAGTCTCTTAGTTCAAATAGGGAAAATGGGGTCACAGTGAATTTCAAAATATGGAATCTGTTGTTTATTCAAGGTTTTCCCTCTGAATACCAGACACAGACCTCTTTGCAACTCTGTTCTCCCACTGGAGGAAGGGAATGGGATAATGATACCTAGCACTCAAGAGGATACAGAGAAGTACTTGGGGATTCCCAGATCTCAGTTGCCAAGTACATAATATGGAAACTGTCACCAAGGTGATCATATCAACCTCCGCCACATGTCAGCCTCCACAGGAAGGCACCCCTGTAGATATTAGTTTACATTTTGGAAATCTTTCCCTTTTACCACTCCAGAGCACTGCAGAGATGCTGATTTGAGGGCTGCTGGCCTGGTGGAGCAGATTCTGAAAAATTAATATGTCCTTGAGCTAGGACATGCTGGATGTGGCTGTAGCCTTTCAAAACAGAATTTTCTGAGTGGGAGGTACTTTTTATCTAATCCTAGCCATTTAGAGATGAGGAAAATGTGGCAGCCCACTATTTAATAGAAGGTTAAACCAACATTGAGATCCATTTGGATGTTTTAATCCAGTATTTCCACTTCTAACTTTCTTGTTGGTAAACTTAAGTTATCATTTACATACATGTGAAGGGATTTCTTGACACATATCACATATTTGTAATTCATGTAAGACGCCAAAATGAGACATCCTCAGAAGTTTTGAGGTATAAGGCATAAGGTGGGATGCATTAAATCTGAATGTATTGCTGACCCAGCAGGACTCATGGTATAATCGGAAAACAGCCCTATTCTCCTCCTTCATGCCTATTTGACTCTGCTCTATGGGGCTACTTCTTTTCCTGCTCCTTAGATGAATTAAAGTGTGGGCCTTATGACTTTTGAGGTCACTCTCAAATAACAAAAAGGGCCTCCGGTTGCTTTTAATCAAAAATACAGTCCTACATCAGTAATGAGTGGGTCATAATAAAGAAAAAAACTCCATACTTTAGTGGCAAAGGGGAGTAATAGTAGACCTCTTCTGTGTTTCTCCCGGCCTGGGGCTTCTTACCTCCTTCTCACTCACGAGGCTGCTCAGTCTTCTAGCGTTGAAGTGGGAAAGGGAGAGAGCGAAGGAGGCCCAAGGAGAGAGAAAGAAAGGCCTTGGGACTCTAGCTGGCATAGCTTCTCTGGCCATGGCAGATGTTTCCAAGTGACACTTTCTCTCATGGGCAGTTTTATAGGTTTGCCAAAACCACTCTCACCACTACCATCCTGCTGAGGAATCTCTCACCACCCATTTCCTTGGCACGGGCAAGTTCATTTTGCCTCTGACTGGTTGCCTCAGATTCTTCTTCTGGGCCCCACTCATCTGGAGGCAAACCTCTGGCTTCTTTCTGCCGAGGTCTCTGCCTTTCCAGGCAAGCCTCCTGGGTAAGATCAAAGTCAAGCCCACACTGTCTGTCTCACTCTCTTTAGACTTTTCTTCTGTGGGAGTAAATGACTTCCCCTATCGTGGTCTCTATCCCATGTTCAGGCCACTTTTGCCAACTCTGGCCCTTTAGATTTCTCATGCATGAGGCAGACACCAGCCCATGGCATTCCCCAAACTGCCGAGGTCGCATCCCATCCCAAGCTCTCCGAGAGCTCTGCCTGAAGGACCTCTCACCAGACTTAAGGTGAGGAAAAAAAAAAAAACAAAACCCTCCAGCCTTTCCCTGGCAGGTGCATGGGAGGAACCTCTTAGAACACCTTCATTTCAGTTCCTCTACAGAAACCCTTCTGGGATCCAAGAAGCCTCACCAGCCTCCACCTCAAGCTTTTCACATCTTCCTGGTAAGTGAGACGTTAAGGGAACACCCATTTGCAAGTCCCGCATCATGGTCCTGCGCCTTGCTTGGAATGTGAGAGGGGCTCACAACTAGTATCTGGGTCCTCCGTCAAAATGGAAATAAATAGCTCCCATCTGAACAACCTGTTACCAAATACATTCTCTTTCTCTTTCCCATTACCCTTATAAAGTTTCTTTAATGGGTAGATGTTGGAAAAGATCAAACGCCATTTCAACAAACTTTGCAGAGTTTTTGTTGTCTGTCAGAGGTTACTTGAATTATGGGGGTGGTTGGAGAAGGGTTGGCCATAACTTTGTTCTACAGAGATTTTTATTACAACAAGATATATAGCAATTCAACCAGCAGCAAGGATCCCAGAATCCTGGGAGTGTTATTTATAAGTCGTGCTTCCCGTCTGTTTTATCCAACTGAACGAGGGAAGTGATTTGAATCAGAAACCACAAATTGGCTGCCTAAAAGAAAGGAAATGAGCAAAATATAGAATTTATTTCTAATTCTAAATGTTTTGTTGTGGTTTCAGTTAGATAACAAGATCTCTTGTATCAGAAAAACCATCACCCCTACCCAGATAGATGGGCACTTGTTCACTGGAGGTTAGTCCCCAGGTCTGGTGGAGCGGCGCGGTGTCAGAGTCAGGGTCCCTCATCGTGGTCCTGGGGAGTGATTATGTCTCTGTGCACTGATCTCCATCCTGTCCCACGATGTCTGTGGTTGGCATCGATGGCCAGGCCTCAAACTCTGTTTGTTCTGTACTTAGCCCTTTCCTCAAAGCCTGAAGCGTTTTGGAACATTGCCAACAAATCATTTAAGAATACAGGATGAATCTTTATGTACCTTTTTCAAGAAGACAACCAGTTCTAGGAAAGCATTTTGATCTTACACCCATACATGATTTAAGATGTGGAAGGTCATATTGGGGACATGGTGAACACATTTTCATGGGTGGGATTCCAAGAGCAGTAAAAGAAAGATAAAAGCATAGATAAACTTACGTTTTGTTTGTCATCAGTTCTCTAGAAGTCCCATGACATGAACAGATCTGCTTACAGCAACCAGCTCTCCTTCACCGCCAACACTTTAACATAATATTTTAGCTGTCAATATCACTGTCAGGAATAACAATTCATTTCACACTTTGGGTTTATCTGGATGGACATTTTTGGAGATGAAGGTGGCAGTGATTTAGCGCTGCCGACAAATGGCACTGAGCCTGCTATCCTCACAAATTCAAGTTGGTTTCTCAGGCAAAGGTAGGCCTGGCTCTAAGTGAAAATGAAAATGTTCAAATAAATTAAACAGAGTTGCAGGGATTCAAAATCTTTCCATGGAGAAATGGAAAAGTAAGGACATTCTATAAATTGGGGACCCTTTTTCCAAGAAAGGCAGTGACTTAGTCATGGGCAGGTCGGAAACACCTGTGGCTAAAATAAAGTAAAAATACCCATGTCCAGATGCCACCCCTCTCTTTCCACCCCTCCTCCTGCAGCATCTGACTTGGGGGCCTGAGGTGGAACAAGGCATTTGCCTTTTTTTAAAGCCTTCACTGGTGGTTCTGGTGTGCAGACAGTGTCCAGAGGGATCACGGATTGTTTGGCTGGGTCCAGAGGTCTTAAAAGAATGGACCGGAAGAAGGCCTAGCTAGAGGGTTCCTCCAGGTATTGCAGGCAGAAATGTGTGGCATAGAGGGGATGGAGTGGGGAGGTCCTCGCATCAGAGCTGGGGTTCATTCATGGATGGGACTCAAGCAATTCTTAACTTTGAGGGATTCACAGATCACCTTGAGAGTGGGATGGAAAAGTCACTCTCCTCAGAAAAATACACAGAGGCTGACCCCAGGACGTTTAGTGCATACTTGCAAGAGATCCTAGAGTAGAATCAAGTTTTTGTTGTTTTAACCAGACAGATCACGTTCGCTTTTGTGAAGGTAAGGTCCCTGGTCTCCAGAAGCTCACAGTCTAGTAGCTAAGAGAAAACCGTAGCAGTAAATCAGTATACGCCACCGCAGGCAATGACCGCAAGAGTCGTGGGGGAAGGGAGATTTCTGGAAATGTGGAATGGGAGAATTCGAACCCTGTGCTTTGAGAGGCAACAGGTGAGACGAGGCCCTTCCCAGCCCCAAATAAAAGAATGGCAGTCGCCCTGGCTGAGGCCGGTCGACGAGCAGGTCCTACTGGGGGGGCCCCGCAGGCTGCGTCACCGGGGAGCGTGCGGTGCTGCTGGAGGCCCTGACGCGGGGCGCCGGCAGGCGGGGGGGGGGGTGACACCGCGGGCGGCAAGGTCTGTAACAGACTGAGACGAGGCGCGGGAGAAGGGCGAAGGCGGCGCCGAGGGCACGGCCTGGGCGGCTGCTCCGCGCGGGGACCGAAGGTGGCCGCGCGTTGGCGCCCGACGGAGACGGCGGACCGCGGGGAGCGCGGAGCGGCGCAGAGCCCCGGGCGGGGGCGGGGGCGGGGGCGGGGGCGGGGGTTCTGGCTGCTCCGGGCCGAGCCCTAGGCGCGGGGACCGGGGAGCCGGCCGAAGGTGATGGCCGCCAGGCGGAGGACCCCAGGTTCCGTCGTTCCTTTTGTCGGGTGAGGAGCGCAGAGCCAACGGCCCCACAAAGGCTCGGGAAAGCGGAGCTCCGCGGTGCGCGCGCCGCTGCAGTCCCGGTAACTCCCGGGGCCGGGGCCGGCCGGGGCCGGGGCCGGGGCCGGGCGTGGGGGCTCAGCGCTCGGGGGAGGCCTCGCGGCGGGGACCCCAGAATAAGTCGGGGGCGGGCCGCGGGGGGGGGGGGACGGGAGGGCGGGCGGGCGAGCAGATCCCACCCCTTCCTGAAGGAAGCGCCCTCCTCGCCGCCGCCGCCGCCGCCGGTCCCGGCCCCGGCCCCGGCCCCGGCCCCGCGAGGCGACCGCGGCCCCCGCCGCAGCGGAGCAGGTAGGCGCGGCGCCCCCTCCTCCACCTGGGCCGCGGGGCAGCGGGGGCGGCCGGCCGGGAGGCGGAGGCGGAGGCGGAGGCGGAGGCGGAGGCCGGGGCGGCGGGCGCTGCAGCGGGGCTCGCGCGGCGGGTGCGGGTCCTCCGGGCCGCGGGGGCGCTGCCCCGCTCTGCTCTGCGCCGGCACTCGGAGCGCCCCGGGCGCGGGCCCACCCGCCCCAGGCCCCCGGACGGCAGCGCGCGGGTCCCCGCCGCGCCCGGTCCCCGCCGCCGCCGCCGCGCTGTCCGCCGAGCCCCGCGCCGCCCGCCCGCTGCGGCCCCGTCCGGTCTTTTGACAGGTGTCCCGCCCGCGGCCCCACCCGGAGACCCAGGCCTTCTGTGGTCGGGCGGACCGCGGTCGGGAGCGACCCCAAATCCGGCCCCCGGGTCGCCCCGCCACTCGCTGTTGACTTTACGGTGAGCCGGGCAGGCGGGCTCGGAACAGGGAGCCGGGCGGGAGGCTCGAACCCGCCTCGCCGTGCACCGCCCCCCACCCTGAACCACTCGTGCTTCCCTCCCCTGGGCGCCGCCTGGGAAGATGTGGGGTTTTCGGTTTCCCCGCGGAGGCAGGCAGCGGGGTGGGCGTGGGGGTATCGAGGCTGTTGGGGCATCCATTGCAATAAGAAAGTGATTAGCTCCAGACTTTGGAGAAAGACCTTGTTTAGTGGTTTTCTCCCCCTCAGATGAATCAAATCGAGAATGAGTGTTTTCCCCATTTTAAAATCTTATTTCCTTTCTGTCTACTCACCCCATTCTCCGCCCACCCCTACCTCCAGAGCGCTTTCTTATAATATCCCAAACACTTCGCTGATTTTTTGTCAGGTTTATTCCGGCCAGATCGTCTTTCACGGGTGAGCCAGGATTTTGACTGCAAATGTGAGGACGTAGCCGGTTGGGGTGGAAGCCTTTCCTTGAGTGAACCTATTTCGAATTGCAAGGTCTTGTTTGGGAACCAAATATACTAATGATACTTTTTTTTTTTTTTAAGTATTGGACCCGTTACAATAACAAAGCTAAACGGTAATAGTAGTTTCTGTTTCTTCATTTATAATAGTAGTTTCTGTTTTCTTCATTTATCTGCTTTAATCAAAGCCCAAGTTTTTGATAATGCAAGACATTGTAACACAGTTCATCAAAAAGATAGGCAAATGTGAATGTATAAATTCCTGGTAGCAGTTAATAAGTTGACCTACTTAAAGTTTTCAAGAAAAAATTGGTAGGCTCGTCTGTGTGATATTTGCAGATCAAAGAATTTTAGGCTCAGCTCTCATGCATTAAATCCCAAACTTTTTTTCCATGTGTTCTAGAGACACCATGTTTCTAAGATTAGCTGTAGCTGTCATCTCTTAACTAGAAATGTGAGTTTAATCTTCAAGACATACATAGCATAGGAATTTTAATGGTGTGTCCTTTATTTATACATTATTTAGTAAATGTTTTGCAAGCTCCCCAAGATGGATGCTCAAAAAACTGGACATTATAAATAAAAGAATAAGGAAATTTTGCAAACAACAATAACTACGTGGTAGATGTTATGACATTGAACAAACATATTAAAGGATTTGGAAAGTGCATGTTTATTAAATCTGCCATGAGCAGAAGGCAATCTGTTTAGATTATTGGAATTAAAGTGTCTTTACAGCAATTGCTTAATTCACGTATTTCTCATCAAAATGCCTTTCACAGATTGCTTTGTGGAGGAGATAGTTTGCTCTGTGGAATAATTTTTTGTATGAGCATAATAATGCCTCATGTTTGGCTTTGTTATAGAACTACCACAATCAAGTTTACAATGACCTTGCAGGGGGGTTTTATGCATACTTTACCTGCTTTGTCTTCATCAACAGCGACAGCACTTTGCTTTACTCTCTTGTCTATACCCCTGCTTTGTTTCCCCTGTGACCTAAGCACACCTCTGCAGTACAATGACCAGATTAGCAGGGCAGCCTGCAGTCATGAAAGAGGAAAAGCTAGCTGGCCCCTGCAATTTTAGCCATTTGCTTTCAGTATAATCTGGCCACTAGCGATCATTTCAGTAACCAATTAAGCAAGACAGACACTGACAAGATAATGTATTACCTCTCAGTCTTCCCCTTCCCCAGAAGAATCTACAGCACTCAGAATCCACACTACAGTGGTAATTGGGGTCTGAGGGGCTCAAAGAAGGTATGTGTGCTAAAGTTCTCAAAATGTGGTACAAAGACCAAGTGTTACTGAATCTGGGTCTAAATTTATGAAAAGGCTAGGAACACACTCCGGTGTTTAATAAATATTGTCCTTTTCCAGAGGGTGACAACAGGGGGGCGTCCCTACTTACTTTAACTGCAGACTTTTCTTCGTGGATCTGATGGTGCCATGTGTCTTTATGGTTTTTCATAAATTGCTCTAAGTACCTTCAAACTAGCTCATAAGTTAGTAGAATTTTAAAAATTGTTATTATCTCCGAGTATCATTTCCCGGCACGTTTGGATTTTGAAAGATAACTTGTGGCATGGAAAGTCTTAATGCAAGGAGATTTTAGTCCAGTGGAATGATATTCTGAGATAATAATGGAATCTTTAGGGCTGCCTCGGAGGTTCAGTCAGTTAAGTGGCTGCCTTCAGCTCAGATCATGATCCCAGGGTCCTGGGATCCAGCCCAATGTTTTGGGCTCCCTGCTCCTCCAGGAGCCCTCTTCTCTCTCTCCCTCTGCTGCTCCCCCTGCTTGTGCTCTCTTGCTCACTGTCAAATAAATAAGTAAAATCTTTAGAGAAAATAGAATCTTTGGGCACTAGCCCTAAAATATCAATCTCACAGTAGTCAAGTCAAATCAGCTCTGCTGAGTTGGTTTGGAACTCTTTTACCAAGTAAGAAATTAACAGTTTTCTTTTAGCATTTGTAATTGGTCTTTTTCTAACATAGAAAAAGCACTAACGTAGTGCTGTCCAATAAAACTTTCTGTAGTTCCATAATTTGTTCAAGGTGCTAGCCACAGGCCATTGAGCACTTGAAATATGTCTAGTACAACTGAGGAACTCAACTTTAATTCTTATTTTTTTAAAATTTTATTTATTCATTTATTTATTTAGAGAGCATGAGTGGGGGCGTGGGGGCAGAGGGAGACAGAGAGAGAATCCCAAGCAGATTCCAAGCTAAGTGAGGAGCCCAACTCAGGGCTCAATCTCACAGTCCTGAGATCATGTGCCTACATCAAGAGTTGGACACTTAAGCAGCTGAGCCACCCAGGTACCCCTGATGGCAATTATTCTTTAGAAGAAAGTGGAAATAGGCATTGATAGAACCAGGAATTAAGATTTCACTCTGTCATCCTATTGTTACAAAAACAACACTAGCATTTATTCTAAAGAAGGTGTGTATGTGTTTTTTTTTTTTTTAAAGATTTTATTTATTTATAGAGACAGGGAGACAGAGAGAGAGAGACAGGCAGAGGGAGAAGCAGTCTCCATGCAGAGAGCCTGATGTGGGACTCGATCCAGGGTCTCCAGGATCACGCCCTGGGCTGCAGGCAGCGCTGAACCGCTACGCCACTGGGGCTGCCCTAAAGTAGATGTTTTATGCTGCTGTTCTATTCCACTCTAAAAATAAAGTTTCCCTTTTTAATTTATATGTATTTTCTAGCCACAAAAATAAACATCGCCCAGAGTTATTCAGATGCTTGGCCGCATGTGTCTGTGCTTTTGAACTTCCTTCAATTTGCTCTCTTGCACATTATAGAACCATTTGTTCTTTTTTTTTTTTAAGATTTTGTTTATTTATTCATGAGAGACAGCCAGAGAGAGAGAAAGAGAGAGAGAGAGAGAGAGGCAGAGACACAGGCAGAGGGAGAAGCAGGCATCATACAGAGAGCCCGACGTGGAACTCGATCCCCGGTCTCCAGGATCAGGCCCTGGGGTGAAGGCGACAGTAAACCGCTGAGCCACGCGGGCTGCCCTCACTTATTCTTTTTATTAAAAAACATTTTATTTATTTATTTATTTATTTATTTATTTATTTATTTATTTGAGAGAGAGAGAGAGAACACAAGTGAGAAGGAGGGACAGAGGGAGAAGCAGACACCCTGCTGAGCAGGGAGCCTGCCACGGGACTCAACCCCAGCACCCTGAAATCATGACCTGGGCCCAAGGCAGAAGCTTAACTGATTGAGCCACTGAGGCACCCCTAGAATCATTTATTCTTAAAGTCAGTTTCTATACTTTTAAATTTATCAGGGGAGGGGATATTTGGAGAAAGTTAGGAGGTAGAGGGAGGGTGATGTACAACCATTTCCCCTTAAAATCTCCATTCCTCTCTAACAGTCACAGAAACCCTGTGGAAAATCCAACAAGTGAGTATCCCTGCCTCAAGGAGTGGCTGAAGCCACTTGGGGATCCTTGCATAAATTTAGGAAATGTTGCATATAATCATTTTTTTTTGAGATTTACAATGCACAAGTACATGATAAAGCCTCTAAGATGAGATACATTTAATTGTTAAACTTTTTTATTAGGTTTCCAAAAAATTTTCATACAACCCTTACAGTATTTTTCAAACCATACGTCCTGAGTCATGAAATTGATATAAAAGGTTAGAGTCAGGGTTTTTTGTTTTGTTTTTTTTTAATGAAATAGAATATACAGCAGAATAGGAATTATCACTATGGATCCCTGTTAGTGGGGCCTGTGAGTGACTGATGAAATTTTTCTTTCTCCCATGTATGGCA